CTGCATGGCCTTGGCATTGGCTGCTGCCTTCTGGTAGAATTTCATGGGTTCCACTTTCAGCTGGCCAGCCTGGTTACTTGGGGCAGTGCGGACAGATGACTCTTCCGAAAAGCAGGCATTGATGACCTCAGCTTTCGGGGACCCTTGCTGTTCCCCCTTTACCAAGAACCTTAGATCTACTCCTACTCTTTGCCCTGGAAGCCACTTCCCAAGAGCCCTATTTTTTGGAGCTAAACTGCACAGATAATAGCTGCTACTGTACTTGGTCAAGGAAGAGTGAAAGAAGGCTCTCAGGCACACTTTTTCCCTCAAGTCACACTAGTTTAAAATGAAAACCATCTGACAGAATGAACTGGATTTCTATGTTCTCATGTCTACCTGTTTCCCTCTATACCCTAGAGCTACTTGTTTCCAGCAAACTAAAAGGGAGGATGAACAGTACTTCCCTCCTCTTCTCCCTGAGACTCACTCAGCTTGGTATCCATCATCTTGGATTCTTCAGTAGATAATCTGTGAGCCCAGACTCTGGATTTTCAGTTGAAGGCAGGGAGCCGTAGGGAGGACAGGCTGGCTGGAGGCCTCCCTGGCAGCCTGGGGAAAGGTGTGAGGCTCAGTGCACTGAACCATAGGATGTACTCATAACCAGTAGCAACATCTTCTAGGTAGGACTGTCCTAGAAGTGAGTGAGTGTGAGACTGAGAAATTGCTCAGAGTAGGTTTCTTCCACAGCCGTTTAGGATTGCACATTCTAGACCAATCTTGTCCAGTATTTTTTCTGTGTCTTAACTTTCGAAGTCTTTTTGTTAAGCCAGCAAGCTGAGAATTTGGCCCTGCGGGGATCCATGTGGTAGGCACTGGCTGCTCTTTGTCCAAGGCCTTCGTAAGTGATTCAGTCATCCCACGGTCTACCCCCTAGCCCCACCCCCACTTTAAGGCCATGACAAGGGAAGAATTTGACGTCAATACCAATCAAGTCTGCGAATTAAAGCTGTTATCGTTCCTCTGAGAGGGCATTTTGCATCAGGCCTGGGGTATGTGCAGAACCAAAACTGGGTGTGGGCAGCAACATTAAATTTTGGGCCCCGAACATCCAGGAAAAAGGTTTCTATAGTGTGTCATAAAGGTCTCCAGTGGTTTGGGGCCTACCTTGCTATTTCTGGGCCAGCCTGACTGCTGATGTCCATGTTAGCACATACCTAAACCCCTTTCCTAACGCTAGCCCTCCTCCCTTGTGTAGATTAGATTTTTAGCTCCTGGGTTTGGGGAGAAAAAACTCTGCCATGCCCTGGGGCCAGTGAAGGAAGTCAAAGCTCAGATCCTGAGATTGGCTGGGAACTTCTTGACCCAGGATGTCATTAAAAAGAGTCCACCTCTACCAGAACCCTCAGACCCTGGAGTTCGGTATTGTCTCTCTTAGCCAGCTTCTGTGGGAACTGCCTTTGATGACTAAAGAAGCTAAGGAGGGGTGGGAGGTGGGGATGAGGTCCCATCCACTGAGGTCGTACTGGATGTCCTTCAAAAACAGCTTGGGTTCCCAGCTAAAGACCCTAGGAAGGTGAATCGAAACTTTCCCCCCATTGGTTTATTCTTTCCAAATTCATTTGCTTTTAGTTTTCTAAGAACTACAGACTCTGGCTATTTTCCATGTTCTCAGGGCCCCTGGGTAGACGGACAAAGTTTGATGATTTCAGAGCAGACATAGGCCAAGAAACCGTGGCATTGAGTGTGCTGAGTCCAGACAAATGATATTTATATACACATCCAAATTTGAAGAGAAAATGTATTTCTTTAGGTTTCAAACACTGTACTAGATATAAAGCAAAAATAAAAACCTGTTGCAAAGTTCTAAATCGTCTTCTTTCGAATCATCCTAAACTGGATTTTTTGGAAATGAATGAGGCAAGGGTGTTTAAACTTGTGGCTTAACAGTGGAATTAGGATTGCAGCAGCCTGCTCCTGCTTATAAAGAAAAAAAATTTTTTTTAAGATTTTTAATCATTTGAGAGTGCAGGAGCTGGGGGAGAGGGGCAGGAGCAGACTCCCCGATGAGCAGGGAGCTCAACACCTGGCCCAACTCCAGGACCCCAAGATCGTGACCTGAGCCGAAGGCAGATGCTTAACCAACTGAGCCAGGCACCCCAAGAATTGCTTTTAAGTAAGCTCTACGCACAACACAGGTCTCAAACTCAAAACCCTAAGATCAAGACCTGAGCTGAGTCAGGACACTTAGCTGACTGAGCCACTCAGGTATCCCAAGAATTTTTTTTACTCCGCTTTATTGAAATATAATTGAGATACAGTAACTGGCACATATTTAAAATGTACAGTTTGATAAGTTTTGACATACGCACCCATGAAACCATCACCACAATCAAGATAGTGAACATATCCCATCACTTCTAGAAGTTTCCACATGCCCCTGTGGAGTCCCCCCTTCCCGCCCAACCCCCAGCAACCACTGATCTGTGTTCTGTCACAGTAGTTTAGTTTGCATTTTCTAGAGTTTCTCTACAGGATTTTGACATTTCATCAGTTCCAGTTAACAGCCCTTTGAGCCACTGGGGTCATACAAACTACTCCCATTTAGGTCAATTCCCACGACAGAGATTACAAACAACCAGCCAAAAAGCTGATTTAATCTAAAAGGAAGGTTTTGGTTGGCTGATAGAGTATGTTTAATTCATTGGCATCATTTTATAAAAGATCTAAAAAAATTTCTGGCACTACTGGATCTAAGCTTCTGCTTGAAAACAATCTGCAAGAGCTCTATTTTACCACAATCCCCACCATTCCCAATGGTCTCCCTGACAATCTGGAAAATGTTAATAATTGTTGCTATTTTCTTTTACAGCAAAGGAGAACATTTAACCCATGTTTCTCAATTTTTCTTATTCCTCGCCTGCCTACTCATTACCCAGCTGGCCCGTGTAGGCCACTGTTGATCTTTCTAGCTACACCATTCCACCCCCTTACCCCACACATGCCTTGTTCTTATCTTTATCTCTGCCTAGAACACCCTCTTCCCATGGGAAGCCATCAAGGCCTGATTTATATGTTACCTCAAGAGATTTCCAACATGTTTTTCTGGAAATAATCAGGGCCTTAGTTGGGAGACACCTGGATCCCCAACATTTCTGGCTTGAGTTCCACCTTTATACTACTATACCATATTCTCAAAGTTACCTGGTAAACAGACTAAGGGATGAGGAAGAGCACTGCCCTTAAGTCTAACTGGGGAAAATACTGAACATCCTTAAGAGCCCCAAAACAATGCTCGATTTGCACAATTTCATTCTCTGCCTTCGCTGCCCCGGACTGATGCTGGGCTTTAGGAATACAATTTAGCCAACAGTTCTTACAATATTCATTGAATTGTAAGCAAATAATTTCAACATCTCATTACTAATGCTGTTACAGAGCTCTATCCAGACCTAGGGAGCAGGGACAGACTGCAGAGCACTGGGAAGGCTCTAAAGTGACCTCTGTGTTGGACCTCAAAATACTGTTTTTGTCAGAAGGGCATTTTGGAAGCTGGAATAGCACCTGCAAAAAACTGGGAAATCCTGGAAATAGTAAAAGTATAGCGGGAGCAAAAAAGAGGGCATGGGCAGGATTAGCTGGAAACAAGCCAAACCACTTACACATTAAATTCCAGGCACATGGGTTGTTAGCTTTTTATTCCATTATCTATAGGCAGCTGAATAAAGAACTGTGATCTCACATTTGGAAGAAGTTTGGGTTTTCCCCCTTTAGCCCCAGGGCAACTCGGATTTTGTCTGTAGAGGATGGGCCATAGAAAAAGTTCAGGAATCTGCTGAGGCCAAACTTCTTGCAGAGAGCCCCCTCAGCTCCTTCCAAAGAGGGACTCAGGGGCTGGTAATGGAGAGTTGGGGGCGGGGGGTAAATAATTTCACCAAATTACCTTCACTCATCCTCAGGGAAAGGGTGCCATGGTTATTTCTTCTGGGTAGGAGTCAGAGTAGTCCAGGAGTTAAAATGGGCACTGTCCCAGACTGGTTTTGAATCCCTGCTCACACCATTCAACAGCGATGGAACAAGTAACTTTTGACTTACTGTCCTCAGATGCAAATAGGAATAACTAATAGTACTAATCTTAATAAGTAGTTACGAGGATTAAGCTAGTAGATGGAAAAATGCACACTGTAAACGCTCAAAGAACTACTATTGTTATGGAAAGTTTTCATTTGAATACGGAAAATGAGGCCCTGGGAGAGAAAAGAATGCCCGATCACACAGATTAGCGATGAGGTTAGGACTGGAATATAGGTCTGATTACCAGCCCAATATTCTATCCCTTGTCCTCAGAGTTCCTAGTCATAGATGTTCACAGCAGACGGTAAGGACCAGTGGGGGTGTGCAGGAAAGAACAGCCAGTCGCAGGGCTTTGGACCTGAATTATAACTTCACGATAGGAACGAGATGGACTCGAGTATTTGTGCAGAATGACTAGCTCCTTTCAGACCTCCTGGGCATACGGCTCCCAGAACTAAAGTCCTTTCTATTGCACCTTGGAAGTTGCGGGGGGGGGGGGGGGGGTCAGCCCCGGTGCATGGCGGGAGGTGTAGTCATTTCCCTCCCCCGCTTTCCCAAGTCACCCGCCTCAGAGGCCGCTTCATCTTTCCCAGAAAGCCCCGCGAGAGCTCCGGCTATTGATTGGCTGCGGCAGGAGCAGGCGGCTCGGCCGGCAGCGGTTACCCAGGGTTTCCGGTGCGAGGCCAGAGCGGGCGAAGCTGTCGGGAGGTCGGCAGTGAGGTGCGTGTCGCGGAGGCTGGGCGGACTAGGCGACCAGAAGGTCTGTGGGCCTGAACGCTCTCGGCCAGTTGGGAGGAATCATGCAGATTCTGCGCAAGGGCGCGGGCCGGGGGGGGCGGGGGGGACCGGGCTGGGGCCTGTGCGCATGCGCGGGCGGGCGGGGCGCGCGGCTGGAGGGCGCGCGGGGCGTGGGTGGCTGCGCGCGCGGCCGGGGGGTGGCCCACGTGGGGCCTGGGGGCCGGGGGAGGGACGGGAATCGAGCGTCCCGCCACGTCAGTCTCCGGCCCTGAGCCTATCCCGCGCTCTGCCTGTGGTGAGGGGGCCGTGTAGTGCCGGGAAGCGGCTTCGAGAAAAAGGAGGCCTCGCCTGCCCTACTTCTGGAGCGGCGCCCCGAAAACCTGCCTGGGCGCGCCGTGCTTCCCTGACCGGCCTGAGACGGAACCGTTGGCTCCCTCCGGTGAAAGCCGGCCAGTGTGTTCTAAGAAGCTTTGTGCACCCGGTATTGGGATTTCGCCTCCAAGCTGTGAAGAATTTCCAAGTCTGGAAAATAGCGAGTGTGCTTGTTTCTATAGGATCTGTTCCCAGCCTAGCATTGCAAACCACAATGAAGAACCAAGACAAAAAGAATGGGGCTGCTAAGCAGTCGGGCAACACTTCCAACCCCAAAACCAACCCGGGGCAAGCGGAAGCAGGACCAGAGGGAACCCAGGGGCGGCCCAGCCAGCCGGCTCCTGCGACAGAAGCCGAAGGTTCCTCCAGCCAGGCTCCGGGGAAGACTGAGGGTGTGTGCCAGCTCTGCTTTCCAGCGGGCAGGGGGAGGAGTTTGTGGTGCGCCAGGGTAGCTTCTGGAGTTGGAGGCCTGTGCCGCTGGTTACCCAGGAAGGAGGAAATGTAGAATGAGAGGGCGACCGCGCTGAGTCTGGTCCACCCCCAGATCCCCGTTTCCCGAGGGGGGGGGACGTTGATAGAGCCTCCCACTCTAAGCACGGGAACAGAAGTCTTGAGAGAAGGCTTTGACAGGGTTAAATCAGGTGGCAATCAAATGAGACAGCCAGCCCAGGTTATAAATACTATAAATATATATATATAAATATATATATATTCACCAGTGGGTAACTGCTCTTCACATTGGAGGCCTTTCTGGAACTTTTTTTTTTTTTAAGATTTTATTTGACAGAGAAAGAGCACAAGTTGGCAGAGAGGCAGGGAGAGGGAGAAGCAGGCTCCCCGCCGAGCAGGACTCGATCCCAGGACCCTGGGATCATGACCTGAGCCGAAGGCAGCTGCTTAACCAACTGAGCCACCCAGTCGCCCCTGGAACTTTAATAGCCAGAAATGATTTTTGCAGGGAGAAGGGGGATGGACTAGATGTTGAGCTCTGTGCTGGATGCTTTATTTCCTTGATTTCTTTCACACTCAAAACAGACATGGTGGGCAGTAGTGGGAAATAATTATATCATTTTATAGGTGAATAAACTGAGGCTTAAAGAAGGTAGGCAACGTTTAACCCAAACCAGTAAGTTTGGGCCTGAAAAATCCCAGCCAGTGGAATAACCATCTTGTTTCTCATTCTGCCCCTCATCCTGCCCTGCTGTAGGAGCACAAGCCAAAACTGCTCAGTCTGGGGCCCTCCGTGATGTCTCTGAGGAGCTGAGCCGCCAGTTGGAAGACATCCTGAGTACATACTGTGTGGACAACAATCAGGGGGGCCCAGGTGAGGATGGGGCACAGGGTGAGCCTGCTGAACCCGAAGATGCAGACAAGTCCCGGACCTATGCTTCGCGGAATGGGGAGCCTGAGCCAGAGACCCCCGTAGTCAATGGTGAGAAGGAGACCTCCAAGGGGGAGCCGGGTACAGATGAGATCCGGGCAAGTGACGAGGTCGGAGACCGAGATCACCGAAGGCCGCAGGAGAAGAAGAAAGCCAAGGGTCTGGGTGAGCAGAGGGCAGCTGCTGGCGAGGCTGGTGAGGCGGGGGAGTTTGGACCTGACATTCCTTGGGCTAACCTGCTGTGCCAGGATTCAGAGGAAACTACTTTCCAGAGCAGCAAGTCACATTAGTTTGATCCAAGCCAGGGTTGTGGGCCATAGAACAGAGGCATGTAGGTTGTTCACTGCACAGGGGCTTCTGGCCTTGGGAGTAGATGGGAACCAAAATGTACCCTGCTCCATCTTTGAGAAAATGGAGAGCAGGAGGCCTGGGCGGGCTCTTGTGTCAGCCAGCACTGTTTCTAACCTGCTCTGTGAACTTGGGCAAGACCTTTTCCTTTCTGGTCCTTAGTTTTCACCTGTCTGCAGTAAGATTTGGACTAGACCAGGGTTGAAAACTCAAATAAGCCAAGTTAGACAGGGGATCCTATGAAGACAAGATGTTGCCTACATCATCCGAAGGGGTGATTGCCCTCTGGTCCCAGCATGCTGATAGCATGTAACACTACAGGCTAAGTGTGGCCAGCCTTTTTTTTTTTTTTGCCCCTTTTATGCAGAGTTACATGAAATCCCTCTGGATTTTTAACAATTGGCAACTAATGTGCTAGGAGCCAAACAAAACCCACATGTGGGTTGGATGTGGCCTGTGTGCCAATGCTTGCAGTCTCCACACTGATCTTTTGGGCCTCTTGGGGTTGACACTTCAGGAGCTGGCTGCTGTGCTCTGTACAGCAGCCCTCCAGGGAGACAGAAGGAAGAGCCCTTGACTCAGGCACAGACAGTGAGAGAAAGTTATGGGGGGCGGGGAGGTAGTGTGAGTGTTAAAGAATCAAAGTTAAGTGATATATCCATGTCTTAGTCCTTATTTCCGCATCTCTGCCTGTCATCCTAATTACAAGAGGGTTTTTTTGTTTGTTTTTGTTGTTTCTTAATCTTGGGATCAAATATTGGAAGATGTATTTGATTTAAAGTTCAGTGTTTGGGAGGGAACAAATAAAGTTCACTGTGTGGCTGCCTCTGTTGATAAGAGTTTAGTCGTTCCCAAGGAGACCTATTCCTTTTTTGCATCCATTCTCTTTCAGAAGGGCCTTCCTTGCGTCGACAAGTAGCACTTGGCCAGTGGGATGTCTTTTTTTCTCCTGCTGGTAGAGCAGGCAAGTTTTTTTCTCCCACTCCCAGTGTTCACCACGCAGTCTCCACATAGCCTCAGTCATTTGTCAAGCGGTTGTGGAGCACGTCCTCTGAGATGGGCACTAGGGACAGTACCGGGCAGCACTGGGGTCACTGGAATAGGCAGGAGTGATTTGGCGGCCACCCTCATGAAGCACACGGTCTGACAGGACAGCAGCCTGTTCAACAAACAATATAAAGTATAATGGTGGAGGGCTGCCTCGAAGCCTAAGAGTGTAAGCGGGGGCCTGGGGAGAGCCCCAGAGAAAGGGGTCCATGCTTTTGCTCCCTGTGCTTTGTAGGGAAGGAGATCACATTGCTGATGCAGACACTGAACACGCTGAGCACCCCAGAGGAGAAGCTCGCAGCTCTGTGCAAGAAGTATGCCGAACTGGTCAGTTCTCCCCCTTCTCCTTGCACCCGCCCTGCCTCGGAAAGTCAGCAGGCCACCTGGCATGGGGTTGAGGGTGCAGTGGCAGGTGGATGGCTTAATTCCTGTTCAGCCTCTCTCTGAGCCTTTTCCGCATCTGTTATGTGGGGAGTCAAGTCCCAGCTGGCCTCTTCCAGGCCGACTGTAAGAGGAGACCCTTCACATTCCAGTGGTAGAACCCTGGCTTCTGGCCCCAGTCCCAGATACCACGTCATCTCACACCTGTGTGCTTCAGTGTGCATCTCCCCAAAATGTGGAAATGCACAGCGCCGTCCTCACACAATTAGCGCTGGTCATGTGATATTCTCTAATCCGAATCCTTCCCCGGTTGTTTAGAATATCTGTTTGATCAAATCAGGGTCTAGGGAGGTCCATTTAATGCATTGGGTCCTTACAGCTGTTTTTCCTTTTACTCCAAAACAGTCTTCATCTTACTGCCAACCTTTTTCTCATGAGATTGACATATTGCAGATCAATTGTCCTGTAGGGTGCCTCACTTTCTCGCTTTGTGGTGGCAGTTAATTTGTTCCTTAGTTCCTGCAGATAAAGTGGAAATGAGCTCTAGAAGCTTGATCCAATCCAAGTTCAACACTTTTGATAAGAGCTCTTCATAAGTAGTACTCTGTAGAGAAACACAGTGTGCTCCTCCCGCTTTTAGTGATGGAAGATTGTCCACTGGGTTCAGGTGGGGCCACCCAGGTTTCTCCCTAGTCAGGTTGCCATCAGAATTTGAATGAATGGGTTCATCCAGGGTCATTTCCTGACTACTTATTTTTAACTTTCACTCCATTCACATTTATTAGCTGGAATTCTCCTATAGGGAATTTTTCTCATTTGTAAAATTGTGAAAATCACACCTGCCTGGTGGGGTTATTATAATGATTAAATAAAGGACAGGATATGAAAAAGATACCACCCCTTCAGAATGAGCCAGCCGGGGAAAGATTGATGAAGAGAGGAGTAGCTGAGTCGCTAGAGTGATGTTCTCAAGTAGACGAGGAGGTAAGGGCCAGAGCGGGAGGGCGGGCTGTGGTAGGAAGCATGGCTGGGTCCTGGTGACTAAAGGAGAAGGCAGCTGGAGGTGGGTGGGCAGAGGTGGAGCTTCTGCCCCTGTGCCTCTGGTTGCTTCCATTCTCAGCAAAATGAGAAAGATAGTTGTTGCTGGGGCGGAGGAGAGTTGAAAAGGAGGACGATGAAATACTTCTGTGGAAGAGGAGTGTGAATAACATAAGGAATATAGTTGGGCTGCGTGGCAGACAAGGGTCTGCCCCAAAGGGGTGGCCACGAACTTAAAGTGAGATTCTTCAGGCAAGGCTGCCTCAGTGCGGTGTAGAGGAATCAGAAGGCTGGTATATCAGGGTTGGAGTTTTGCTAGGAAAAAGGGGCAAGAGAGTTGAGGGTATAAGAAATCTAAGGTAAGAAGGTCAGTGATTATTTATTTATTTATTTTAAAGATTTTATTTATTTGAGAGAGAGCACAAGAGGGGGGAGTGGGAGAGGGAGAAGCAGACTCCCCGGTTAGCAAGGAGCCCGACGCGGGACTCGATCCCGGGACTCCAGGATCATGACCTGAGCCGAAGGCAGTCGCTTAACCAACTGAGCCACCCAGGTGCCCAGTCAATGATTATTTAAAGGAGAGTTCAAGGAAAGTGGAAGGATGATTGGGTCATTAGGTTGGAGGTCCACTGTGGTAGATTTTCTGGGACCACAGATATTGGAGGAAAGGAACTAGAATGATAGGTGATAGTGGTCCTGCCCTGGCATGAGATAATGGAGATATGTGTGCTTCTGGGTAATGACAAAACCTGGATCTCACGGTCCAGGACAGTAACCATTAGCCAATTGAAATGTGGCTAGTCTGGATTTGGATGTGCTCTGAGCGTAAGATACACATTGGATTTCAAACACCTAAGGAAAGGGGAAGAATAAAATACGCAAATTTTTTACATTGGTTTCAGGTTGAGTATTATAATAATAAATATTAGATTAAGTAAATGTTTTACTAGTGTTAATGTCATCTACTTACCTTTTTAACGTGGCCACTGGAAGAGTTGTCATTACATAATTGAGTCACACTGTATCTGCGTTGAATGGGCTCACAGGAGGGTAGCTGATCCGGCGGGGAGGACGGGGCTGAGGAGGAGGTTAAGATCTGTCCATAATGAAAAGGCCAAAATGGTAACAGCAATCACACTGAGGAGAGAAATGGTGCAGAGTCTCGGAGCAGCGAGAGGGAGTGACGGGGGTCTGTTGAGTACAAGAGGGTGTGGTGGGGGTCTCATCTGAGGGCATGAGTGTCCCAAGAGGTGAGAGTCTTGAGAACTTTGTCTCTGGTCAGAGCAGGGAGAAGCTGGGGTCTGCAGCCCTGCTTGTCCCAACGGCCCGTTTCTGTATCCCTGCCACGGGGCCCTCGGGGTTGTCGGAGAGGTGTGAGTCACCCGCACGGTGTCCAGCTGGAGCCCTTAACAACTGGCGTCGGGAGAGGGCCGGGGTCCCCGGGGAAGGGCCCCACACGGCACTTCCTTGCCTTGCCTGTCCTCAGCTGGAGGAGCACCGGAACTCCCAGAAGCAGATGAAGCTGCTGCAGAAGAAGCAGAGCCAGCTGGTGCAGGAGAAGGACCACCTGCGCGGGGAGCACAGCAAGGCCGTGCTGGCCCGCAGCAAGCTGGAGAGCCTGTGCCGTGAGCTGCAGCGCCACAACCGCTCGCTCAAGGTGGGCGGCCCGCGACTGCTTCCCTTGACTTCCACTCTTCAGTGGGCTTTGCCCTTAAGAAGTACCACGGGCTTTCAGCAGAGACATCAGTGTCCCCGGTGACGCCCCTACCTTAGCGGCAGCTTCTTAGAACCCCTTGACCCATCCTCGTGTCCGGTAACGTGAGGGCTGCGGGGCTGAGGGAGCCCGGGAGGCAGGGCTTCCGTACTGTTCAGTTTCTGGCAGGCAGCTCCTCTCCCAGCCGTGGTGGGTCTGGAATGCTGGGGCTTTTCTCTTCGTTCTGCTGCTTCGGGGGCGGGGTCAGTCTGGTTAAAGCCCAGTCACTGCTCTGACCTATGGATCCTTTATCTATTTCTTACAAATTTGGATCAGCAAATATATGGTATTTTGCAATGTGTTTTGCTCATTTTTAGTTTGACAGCGTTTCAACTTTAATATAAACTTGGTAGGAGAGATTCAAAGGTGACAAAAGTATAGCAGCTTAAAAGTGACAGTTGCCCACCCTCCTCAACCCCAGTGTCCATCAGAAACCACTGGGAAGTACACGTACTTACGCCCAAGTTTAAGTACAGCCCGCAGACTAGCTGCATCTGTACGCACTCCCACATAGGGTTCCGTACAGATGGAGCCGTCACCGTGTATCGTTTCACATCCCGTTCTGTCTTCTCACTTCCCAGAATGCGTAGCTGCCTTTCCCTCTCAGTTTATTGAGGGCTGTCTCATTCTGTTTGACAGCATTATTGTATGCATGTACGGTATTTTATCAGTGCCCCAGTTAAGGAATTGCTGCGTTGTTTCTAAGTTTACACTACTATATACATAGAGCTACAGTGGAAGTTCTAGTTATATATATATATCCCCGGCTCGTTGTATACAATTTATCCATAGGATAAATCTCAGAAGTGAAATGTCTGGGTCAAAGAATGTGCACATTGTAAATTTTAATAGATTTTGCCAGATTGCCTTCCCACCAATAGTGTCTGCATGCCTAATTCTGCACAATCTTGCCAACCCTGGGTACTACTGAACTAGGGGTCAGCGGTGGGCAGTGGGGGTGAGAGGTGAGAAATGAAAGTGCAGAAACAAGACCACTTAACCTGAGGTCTGGAAGAATGGGCTTCGGGAGATCCAGGTTCCTCTAGAATGCCTGCATCGTTCTAGGGCGAGAATCTCTCCCTTGCTGTCACCTGATAGAGGGGTCCATTGGGAGCCCCATCGCAGGACATCTTGCAACCTGGCCGCTCCTCACTCTGAGAGCAGAGAGGGTTGTCGGTACAGACCATGGCTGGCTGGGGAGCTGCGGCTGATGGGGATGGGGCTGACTTCTCTGCCCAGGAAGAAGGCGTGCAGCGGGCCCGGGAGGAAGAGGAGAAGCGCAAGGAGGTGACCTCACACTTCCAGGTGACGCTGAACGACATTCAACTGCAGATGGAACAGCACAATGAGCGTAACTCCAAGCTGCGCCAGGAGAACATGGAGCTGGCAGAGAGGCTCAAGAAGCTGATCGAGCAGTACGAGCTCCGGGAGGAGGTAAGGAGTCCTGCACAGCCAACACCCAGCTCCAGGCCATCTTTCCTGTCCTATTAGGAGTGTAGGTGACGTCCCCACGCGCCTTTTCCCAGCTGCTTTGATCTTTGAAGCCACACCGAGTCCACCGCCTCTTGCGGTCTCACCCACTCCCGGCCCCCAGGGCCCCTCCGGCAGTTCGGGGGACTGCCTTGAAATTTGCACATCTAGTCTTGGGCTATAGATGGGGCAGATCTTTGCCAAGGGAGCTAAGCTGTTGTGTTGGCGGAGGTGTCGTTTCTGTCCTTTCTTCCCATTGACAAGGGAGTCGGGCTACAAAAGTGAGGGCTGTTAGCCCAGCGGAGTGATCTGGGGCCGGAGGTTTGAGTGTATTTATTACTTGGCTTCTTGGGAGCCAGTTTCATCCCTGTGCCCACCCAGGACTGACTGGAGAGAAACAAGGGGAGATTCGGAAGTAGACCTTCCAGGGACAAGGGGCCCAAGTGCTGTGGAACGTGAGGAGTCCAGCGTGTCAGAGTGAGATGGGAGGCTGGGCAGGGGACCCTGGTCTCTGCAGATGGGACGTCTCTGTAGCCACCAGGCCTCCCTGAGAAAGGGAGGTGCTGACAGGTGGCCCTCCCACCATGCTTTCCTGCAGCATATCGACAAAGTCTTCAAACACAAGGACCTGCAGCAGCAGCTGGTGGATGCCAAGCTCCAGCAGGCCCAAGAGATGCTGAAGGAGGCAGAGGAGAGGCACCAGCGGGAGAAGGATTTTGTGAGGCTCGGGCCCTGAGGGTGGGGAGTCTGGGAGGAGGCAGGTTGGGTTCTGGCTCAGCTCATAAGTCATCAGGTGTGTCAGGGAGAGGTTGCCGCCTGGCCAGACCAGGGCATTGCTTCCTCAGATAGCAGTCAGAGAGCAGGAAGCTTCAGTGGGTCCTGGGGCATGTGGCTAAAAAAGACCAAACAGCCCCTCGGGGCTTCTGATAGGATCTGGGGTCCTGTCTTGGAAATAGCTCCTCAAAGAGGCAGTGGAGTCCCAGAGGATGTGCGAGCTGATGAAGCAGCAGGAGACCCACCTGAAGCAGCAGGTGAGACAGAGTGGGTCCTGATCCTGTGCCTCTTGAGGTCCCCTCACTGGGCCCCATCCTGGGGGAGGGAAATGAGACCCTCGTTCTAGGACCACCTTGACTGCTGTGTGACCTTGCTGAGCCTTTGTTCTCTCTGGACCCGCCCAGCACGGTGGTGACCAGGTGGCTAGGTGAGCTTGAAGGACTTCGTTCCTAGTTGGAAGTGTTGTGCTACTTTTGAGGAGGCAGGGATGGAACGGTTGTTTTTAATTACATTAATTATACTTAATTTCAGAAGAAAAGTTTGAAAACATACATAGAAGCAAAATATAAGGGGCGCCTGAGTGGCTCAGTTGGTTAAGCCACTGCCTTCGGCTCAGGTCATGATCCTGGAGTCCCGGGATCGAGTTCCGCATCGGGCTCCCTCCTCGGCAGGGAGTCTGCTTCTCCCTCTGACTACGCTCCCCCCTCTCATGCTCTCTCTGTCTCTATCTCATTGTCTCTCTCAAATAAATAAATAAAAAAAATCTTAAAAAAAAAAAAAAAGAAGCAAAATATAAGTCACCCCAAATCCTGCTTTCTAGGCTTAACATTTTGGATTCCGTCCTTCCAAATACATAGTTTTTGTTTTGTTTTAAAGAAAAATGGTATCTCAAGTGCCTGAGTGGCTCAGTCGGTTAAGCATCTGCCTTCAGCTCAGGTTGTGATCCCAGGGTGCTGGAATCGAGCCCAAGTCTGACTCCCTGCTCAGTGGGGAGCGTGCTTCTCCCTCTCCCTCTACCGCTCCCCCTATCTATGCTCTCTTGCTCTGTCAAAAAAATAAAATCGTTTAAAAAAAGAAAAGAAAAATGGTATCTCAATAGAATTGTTGGGTCCGAGGTCCAAGGTTGGGTCTGACTGTGTTAACCCGAAGTGTCCTCCAGAGAAGCCTGATCTTATCTCGGCTTCTTTCTCACCCAGCTGGCCCTATACACAGAGAAGTTTGAGGAATTCCAGAACACTCTTTCCAAAAGCAGTGAGGTGTTCACCACATTCAAACAGGAGATGGAGAAGGTAACAGTGTCCAGGCTGGGTGTGGCTGCAGCGGCTCACCGGGCCTGTCTTCCAGAAGCCCCAGCCCCTGGGGTGCCTCCTGGGGAGCTGTTTACAGTAACAGTGTGATTGATACCAAGGGTGGGCTGTAAGGAGGGATCCGAGCCTTTCCCCACCTCTCAAGGAAGCATCACTGATAAGTGCGTCCTCCAGGTTGTCCTGGACAAGGGGCAGCCTTGTCAGTCCTTGGTGGTGGTGGTGGCGGCATTGACCTTGAGATGTCCCAAGGTGGCACCAAAGGCACTGACTGCGCCCGTAATACCTTGCCCTGTTGGGACTGTTCCCCACCTTGGAGACACAGATGCACAGATGGTCTGGCCCCCTGACCATTTCCTTCTTTCTGTCCCATAACCCAGATGACTAAGAAGATCAAGAAGCTGGAGAAAGAAACCACCATGTACCGGTCCCGGTGGGAAAGCAGCAACAAGGCCTTGCTTGAGATGGCTGAGGAGGTGGGTTGCGTGTGCTCTGCAGCTGGAGCGGGGGGGGGGGGGGGTGGGGGGGCAGCGGGGAGGCAGTTTTTGAGTGTTGGGCCCTTTCCTCTGCATCCTACCAGTAAGTCATGCAGCTGGCGTGAGATGGCGCTGGGACTTACATGTCCATCTGTCCAAAGGCACTGCCGACTGTTGCCCCATGGGAGATGGTGAGCCCAGTGGTAGGTCTGCAGTAGAAGCAAAGAGAACAGATGAAAGAAATACAGGAACCGAAAACCAAGGAGTACCAATGGTGCGCACAGTTTATATGCAGAGTAGCTCAGCTAATTTGATTTCATGGTTTGAGATGCAGAAGAAAGGAACTAGTTGCTGGAGTAGCTACTATATACTAGACCGTCCTGAATGTTTTAGGTAATGGCAGTTCATTGAACCTTCTCAAGATCTGTGAGGTTGATGTTAGCCTTTTTTTTTTTTTTTAAAGATTTATTTAGGGGCACCTGGGTGGCTCAGTTGGTAAAGCATCTGACATCTGACTTCGGCTTAGGTCATGATCTCAGGGTCCTGGGATCGCCTCAAGTTGAGCTCCCCATTCATTGGGGAGTCGGCTTGTCTCTCTGCCCCTCAGCCCCTCCCCGCCCTTGTGCACATGTGTATGCACTCTCAAATAAATAAAACCTTAAAAAAAGATGTATTTAGGGCGCCTGGGTGGCTCAGTTGGTTAAGCGACTGCCTTCGGCTCAGGTCGTGATCCTGGAGTCCCTGGATCGAGTCCCGCATCGGGCTCCCTGCTCGGCAGGGAGTCTGCTTCTCCCTCTGACCCTCCTCCCTCTCATGCTCTCTGTCTCTCATTCTCTCTCTCTCAAATAAATAAATAAAATCTTAAAAAAAAAAAAAAAAAAAGATGTATGTATTTGAGAGAAAGCATGTGTGCACATGCATGTGTGAGCAGAGGGGAGGGGTACAGGATTGGGGAGAGGAGAGGATCTCAGGCAGGCTCCTTGCTGAGCCCAGAACCTGACGTGGGGCTCTGTCTTGTGACCCTGAGATCATGACCTGAGCCGAAATCAAGAGTGGATGCTGAACCGTTGGCGCCATCCAAGCACCCCAGTAGGCCATTGTAACAGATAAGGAAATAGGCTTTAAAAGCCAGGTCTTACTTTGTGTCATCTGGCGGATAAATGGAGAAATAAGTGGTCTTCAAGACACGCCCCTTCTCGGCGCCACACTGCCCCCTACCAGCAGCCACGTCTTGGCACCCACCAGGGCTGTTTCACTAGGAAGGGACCAGCTTTTGGCTCTGGTCTGCTCCCAGTATCATTCAGGTGTGAATGTTTTCTACCACGTGACTCTGTGGTGTGGGGGGTTGATGGTGTGGCACTGAGGCCCCATTTCTCTCCCTAGAAAACACTCCGGGACAAAGAGCTGGAGGGCCTGCAGGTGAAAATCCAGCGGCTGGAGAAGCTGTGCCGGGCGCTGCAGACAGAGCGCAACGACCTGAACAAAAGGGTACAGGACCTGAGTGCTGGTGGCCAGGGCTCCCTCCCTGACGGCGGCCCTGAGCGAAGACCAGAGGCTGCAACCGCCTCCAGGGATCAAGGTTGTGAGGGTCCTGGAGCCCAATCACCAAGCTCCCCGAGGGTCACAGAAGCTCCTTGCTGCCCTGGAGCAGCGAGCACAGAAACACCCGGCCAAGCGGGGCCCCAGGAGTCCACCTCCACCACCGCCTAGGGAACCTGGCACGGGGGGCGTGCTGGGAAGGGAGCAAGCAGCCCAGCCAGGCCTGGCCCAGGCAAGGCTCCCACCGCTAAGCAGTCCAGTGCTGAGGCCCAGGGTGCTCCGACCTGGCTGGCATCTGACACTTGGCAGTTTTGGATTTCGTGGGTCAGTTTTACATACATACGGCATATGTGCAAGGCCTCCTACCTTTCTGTCTCTTAAGTGGAACATGGGCTTGCACTGGAGGTGGGGGTGTGTACGGGTGAAGTCACTGGCTCTTCTGTGAGCTGAAGAGTCTGAAAGAGGAGCTGCCATCTGTAGCTGCTGTCACAGTGAGCTGGCAGGACAAGTGACTTGAGCATTCCCCTGCCTGACTTGAGGCTCAGATCCCTCCCTTCCTGCCCGTGAGGGCTTGTGACAAGTGATACACTCAGGCCTTGACTGCATTTCCCTCGTTAGCAGGGCTTGGGCAGCTCTGGCTCACCTAGCTCCCCTGGAAGCTCCTTTGCTTCTCTTAACCTGGAGAAAGGGGTCCCCGGGCGGGGCCTTCAGAGCTGGGGATCCAACTGCTGTCCTGCTTTGGACGGGGGACCTGGAGAAAGTTGCTGTGGGCTGGTACACGGTTAGGGAGCCCTCAGGTGGTGCCAGGACCAGGCCAGCGATGCTTCTCAGTAGCCTTATCATTCACAGGTGCCTCTCTAGCCTGCACAAATGATTGACAAGAGATCACCCAAAGGATGCTTTCTGAAGGTTTCTGTTTTTTGTTTTTGTTTTGCACATGACAGTGTGTGTATTGATCTGAGGAAGGAGGAGGGGCATTGGCGCAGTTGGCCTCCAGTGCCCCCCACCCTCAACACCCCACCTGGTATCTTTGCCACGTTGGTGCTGAGCTTTCCTGTTCGGTGAAATCAGATTGCAGTTAGGAGGAAGAGAAGGGCATCTGATGGTTTTGCCACAAGCTTGCCTATGTGTTTCGGTCCTGGGAGGCCACTGCTGATGCCCATCACCACTGTCTCCATGTGGCAGTTGCTGGGCCCCGTGCCCAACTGTCCCCTTGGCTTTTAGGAGTCTGTTTCTGCTTCTAACCCCACCGTTAATGTGCAATCCTTGAGATTTGCCCTGGTCCCATTGCCTAAAGAATAAGCTGAAGTATGTCCTTGATGTCTCAGTTCCTGTGTGGAAGCCCCCAGCTCTTGTCTGGCAGCTGAGGGACGGAATGAGACTTGACAGTTGATGAGCCTCAGAAATCTGCAGGACGGCTGCAGATACTCGGGTCTGGTGCCCCCACGCCCCCCAGTACTTGCTGCTCTGGACTGAAAATTTTGCCGGTTGTGTATTCATCAGTCTGTACAGAGCAATTTTCTGGAACAACAGAATGAGGCACGGGTTGGGAAGCTGGGCTCTGGTGGGCGTGAGGTCCTACACCCTGCCTCTGGCTGGGCCTCGGCTTCAGTGTAGCTGAGGGAGCTGTGGACCAAGAGGCACAGGATGGTGGAGCTTTTGTTTCTTGCTGGATTTCCTTGAAGCTAGTTCATTATCCTGCAGGTCCCTTCATCTTCAACAACCAGCCCGCTCTCCATGCCTTTCACTTCAGTCCCTCACATAAACAGGTTCATGAAGAGTGCTCAGTGCGCGTGAAACACGTTAACGACGTAGACCAGAGATGGCACGGGACCGGCACACCGTTTTTCCTCTGCCCCCGTGGCAGGAGCCCCTGCTGGGCCGTGGAGTGTTTCCCGCTAACCCCTGCTGCAGCCAGCTCAGGACCCCCTGGCAGCCGGGCCAAGTGTGGACACCTACTTGCCCTCCCTGGCTGAGCTCCTCTCCTGTGGACAAGTGTTTCCTAAGATCTTGCCCTCTGAAATGGCTATATGTGGAATGGTCCCTGGATCTGCCGTGTCCTTCCCCAGTAAGGCCTTCTTTCCCCCTCTCCTCCTCCCCCCCGCCCCCCCGCCCGGCCCTTTGTCAGGCTGAGACACACAACCGCGTACAGGGTGTGCTGGGCTCCAGAAGCGCAAGGAAGAGGCAAGCTGCTGCCTGGCCGGTTTCAAGAGCAGGAGGCATGCGGTAGCCCACGCGATGGCCTTGCTTGCCTCAGCCACCTCGTGGAGCCCACGGGCTGAGGGGGAAGGCTGTGGGGGACCACGACTGCAGCGCAGCCGCCCCCAGAGAGCCAGTCCAGCTGCTGTGGGGCTGCGGCGAGCAGGGCGGCCCCAGCCGTGTCTAGGCGTCCGGGCCAGGCTGCAGCTGAGGCCCCCGTTGTCCCTCTCCCTCTCCTCCCCGTTGGCCACACCACGCTGAGCACTACAGCGGCTCTGCTTGTTCTGCTTTCCGGCCCCGAGCCTGGGCCGGATGCGGGGGAAGGTGGCCTGTCCGGATGAAGGCCGGTGCCGTCCTCCCCGGGGCAGGGCCCGAGCACGTGACCTCCGTTTCGGGACCAAGAGCTGTGTTGGATCCTTAGGTTCCTAGCGTTTCAGGGGACCACTGCCGGTGAGGCTCGCCGCCCCGAGCCCTTGGCCCTGCTGACGTAACGTGTGCTGCGGACCTTGCCGGCCTGAGAGCCTCGCGTGCACCAGGTTCCCGGGAGGTATCGGCAGCACTCGTTTTCTTTTGTTTTCCATGAGGTTTCTGGACCACGGGCTGAGCTCAGGCACTTTCTGTGAGAGGATGTTCTGTCTGTAAAGACGGTTATCTCCGCTCCCGTCACAGTGGCCCTGCTGAGGGCCAATCGAGAGGCCAGTGGACCTGCCCTGGTGGCTGGGGGGGGGGGGGGCGCGGCAAAGCCTACTGAGCTGATTCTCCAGCTGCTGCCCGGGCCTCCCACCTGAGCAGCACAGAGGTGGCCGCCCCAGGGACAGCCGGGCACCTGCCTGGGGGAGGGGTGCTGCCTTCTGTCCCTGTAACTGCTTCCCATATGGCCCGACCTGGCCACCCAGATTTGTTTTAAAGCTGTGCTGACAGCCTTTTTTTTTTTTTTGTCTCCTTTTGGTATTCACAACAGCCAGGGACTTGATTTTGATGTATTTTAAACCACGTTAAATAAAGAGTCTGTTGCCTTACTTGTTTCTCTCCTGACTTTGTGGTCAGTTGGTGCTTCTGGATCCACCTGGCCGTCACTGACTTGTCTGGATCTGCTGCAGAGCCTTTGGCTGGGCCATATTGTGCATCTTCCGGAGTGCGCCCTGCCTGCCAAGTCACCACAGGCAAATTCATTTGAGCTGCCTGAGCAGAGCCCGTGGCAAAGTTGGCATGATGCTCAGATACATAGAAGCATCAGATTTCTTTCATTCAATGACAAGTTGCCCCTGCCCCATGAGGGGTCAGGCTAGTGATGAAGAAAAGATACTTTTTTTTTTTTTTTTTTAAGTACTCTCTATGGGGCGCCTGGGTGGCTCAGTCGGTTACGCTTTCCTTCTCTCAGAAATCTTTTTTTTTTTTTAAGATTTTATTTATTTATTTGACAGAGCAAGAGAGGGAACACAAGCAGGGGGAGTGGGAGAGGGAGAAGCAGGCTTCCCGCAGAGCAGGGAGCCCGATGCGGGGCTCGATCCCAGGACCCTGGGATCATGACCTGAGCCGAAGGCAGATGCTTAACCGAATGAGCCACCCAGGCGTCCCGAAAGATACTTTTTTTTTTTTTTTAAGATTTTATTTATTTATTTTATTTATTTATTTGAGAGACCACGAGCAGGGGGGGAGAGGGAGAGGGAGGGGCTTAACCATCTGAGCCCCCCAGGCGCCCCCCAAAGGATACTTTTAGATGAAGAAACTGTGGTGGTGCTGTGGAACCGTAAAGGAAGCCCCTGTCCCCTTCAGCAAAGAGCTAGGGGTGGACACACCTGGAAGGGCCTTATGACCCAAAGGACAGGTAGAAGTTTGACAACTTGATTTAGTAGTGAAGTGGCTCACCTAGAAATGCAGGTGCACAGGAGGGTCGTGGGAGGAGGTCACCAGGAGTCTGTGTGACAGGTTAAGGAATCTGGGCTAGATCCAGAGGACAGGAACCACTGAAGGTGTTTAAAGAGGACATTGGGAAGATCCATGAGGAAGGCATAAGGTAAGGAGACCAGAGACGGAGGCATAGGCCAATTGAGGCCCAAAATCAGATGGCCGGTCACTGTGAGCACTGCTGTTCAGGGCTGTCTGCCACGGGCAGCATCCTTTGGCATTGGCCTACCTGTGAGTTCCTTTGATTTTGAACCTTCCTTGAGAAGACCACATTCTGCCTGCAGTTCTGAAGAATGGGCTGGTTTTTTACACATTCCTGCTCACCCTGCCAAGCCTAGGTGCAAAAGTTGGGGCTCCTGTACCAGCACCCTATTCTCTCTGGAGCCTGGGTTGGCCTGGCACAAAGGATGGTATGTGAATGCCCAACAAACGGCAGAGACAAGTAAAGGGCCCTTCCCTCCAGGCCTCCACAAGCAGATGTGTTCACACTGGCTGTGACTGTCCCCTCGGAGCCTCTGCCCCTTCTGATCAGAGTCCAAACAGGTTGATACTTTTCTGGGCTGGCCACAGTCAAAGATCTTCGGAAGGAGTCCAGGGAGGCCGCCCCAACTCTTGAAGCTCCCAAGCCATGCGTCTCTGAGGATAGCTTCACCCTACGGGGTGCTCCTGCACCTGCCACCACTTTCCTGGAGGAGCCCTGGTGCCCCTCTAGCAGCTGGAGGAGAGCAGCTCACCCGTTGTCCTCTCCGCCTTTGCAGAACCCTCCCTCAAGCCTCTGGTTATTGAAAAAGTCCTGAATTAATGTCTCCTCTTCTGAAACAGTCTAGATGTTGGAAGCACCTGGGAAAGGTCCCTGCGTGGGTGCCTGTGGAAACAGAACCCAGCCCTCCCTAACTTACCTGGAGGCCCAGGGGCCAGGAAGCTGCTCCTGCCCATGGGAGGGGAAGAGGGACCAGGGTGCTGTGCACATTGCCCTGGGGCAGTTAATTTGGGACCGCAGGGCAACCGGGCCAAGGATAAGCCTGTCTCCTGTTGCATCATGGTTCTCGGGGACCTGAGCTGGGAGCCTCTGCCAGGTCTTTAAATAGCTGCCCCATTGATCTGGCCTCCCAGGCAGCACGGGCAGCGCTGGGTCAGCCTCCTGGGGGTTGGGGTCAAGTGCCAAGTAATCGCACCGATTTCCCTCTGACCTGATGCTCCCCACACGTGTATCTTAGACCTGGGGGTGGGGAGGGAGGAGGCTTGGTCCCATCACTTCATCAGGCGCTGAATATAGCCCCCACTGCTTACCAGCGAGAAGTGTCTGGGTATCGTGGGGTGAGTGGTATTACCCTCAAAAGACTAGAGTTTACTTTCGGCAAATGGGATGATGACAGTATCCTCCTGCGGGATTGTTATGAGGATTAAATGTACATAAAGTGCTTAACAGGGGACCCAGACTCAATAGGTGGTTGTCTTCTCTTGCAGTTTCTTCTGCTGCTGCTTCTTACAGGCTCATGTATATATATATCTTGTATGCTTATATGTATCTTACATGCTTATGTACATTTTCTGCCCCCCCATCCCTATCGCCCCACCCTGGCCTTCTGACAAAGCCACCACCATTTTGTAAGGGACTATAGCTTCTCCCCGAACTGATGGGAAAGTGAGTTTTTTAGATGGGCAGCACACAACCAACGTTAGTTACCTTAGCTCAGCTGGGGAGGTAAAGTCAAGTGAGAGCGACAGCCTAGTAACTGCTGTAGTCTCCTCCCATCTTACGCATCCCAACCGCTAAAGAAGGTCACTTTCTCTTTAAATGCAAATTACCTCCTGCCAGCTCTACTTCCACCCGCTCCGCTCCCTAGGAGGAGAGCGCCGATCGCGGAGGGAACGGCCCCGAAGCCCGACTCCCGACGCCACACCTCCAGGTCAGTTGCCCCCTTCCGGGGCGGGGGGGGCGTGCGGAACGTCTCGGGTCTGACGCTCCATTTTGGATCCTGGCTCCCCAGCCGAGCGATCCTTTTGGCACATGGCTTTAAAGACTGAGCATGGGAAATAGATCCCAGGTGGCCCCCAGCCATTCCCGGGGAGCAGGGGCTCCTGCTCCAGTTCTTCTGTCAAGTCCTTAATTGGGCCAAGCTGCTGCAACGCCAGACGGAGGACGTGCTCCGGTGTCCCCTCCACCACACCCCCTGGGGCCGGCCAGCCAGGTGCCAATTTCAATGCTGATGCCCCCAGGGGCGCCACCATCCCAGAGTCGGCAGCCTGGAGCGAGCAGCTTGGGAGAACCCCTGGAAAGAGCCCCCGGGCCCTCCTCCGGGAGGACCTCAGCTGACCCGAGGCTTAGGGGGTGGAGCTGGACGGGAGGCTGAGCAGTGCCAGCCACAGGCCATTGTTGGAAGCCCAGACGGCCAGCTGCCCGACCACCCACCCCACCCTGGCCGCAGCGGCAGGGAGCCCGTCCCAGAGAACATCTGGGAGTTGCCTGATGTTTGGGGTTGGGGGTGGGCGGAAGAGGAGGGATGCCAGTGTCCGAGTGGGTGGGGGATCCCACAGTGAGCGCCGTCACCCATCCTCTGGGGGTGACTGCCTGACACTAAGGTCTTCCCAGGCGCCCCCACCCACATCTTGGTCACCTCCCTTGCCGACAAAGTTTGTCAGCAGCTGCCCGGACAGCTGATTAAATAAATACAAGAGGACCTGGTTAAGACACCCCTAACCCTCCGCTGGCCTCCTGCCGGCTCACAGCCTCGCTGCCTCCCCCTCCGTTTCCTCTGCCAGCTTCCCGACAGGAAACCCCAGCAGCAGCGGGACAACAGTGTCTGGTCCAGCCCTTCCAGGCAGCAGCCAGGTTTTCAGGCCAGGGGCTGGAGGGCAGGGGGGTGCCTGGGGTAGGCCCTGGAAGGTCCTTCAAACACACATCCAAGACCCCAGCGGGAGGGCGCCAGCATCTGGGCCTGCCCGCCCTGGACAGAGGAGGGGACCGAGGCCCTGGCAGTTATGATGGGGCAGTGGGAAGGTCCCAGGGCCCTTCCTGTGCAGCTCTCAGGGGTGGCTGGGTGAAGTGATGCCTTTGCCTCTCGCTATCTCAGTGGGACCTGAGGCCCAGCCGGCATCCAATGGAGGACAAGAAGAAGAAAAGGAGTCCCAAGCCCTGCCTGACCCAGCCAGCCCAGGCCCCGGGAACACTACGAAGGGTCCCTGTGCCCACCAGCCACAGCGGCTCCTTGGCCCTGGGACTCCCTCATCTGCCCTCCCCCAAGCAGCGGGCCAAGTTCAAGAGGTGGGTACAGAAGGAAAGCAGGGCAAGGAGGGAGGGACCCCACGGGATCCCACCCCCACTCTGGGCTGAGCCCTGTGGGAAGCAAGGTAAAGACAGCCTTAGCCTAAGCCTTAGCCTTAGCAACTGTTGATGCCTTCCCTGGGGCTGAGAGAGAGCTCAGAGATGCCTCAGCCCCAGTCTGTGCCCTCAGGTGTAGGGGAAAGGCTAGAGGGGTGACTGGGATCTCACACCGTGCTGATGCACCGCAGAGCAGGGAGTGAGCGATGCTGCCAGAAGGAGAGGCTGAAGGGCACACTGGAGAGAGAGAGAGAATGTCTAAGCTGAGGGACTTGCCTGACATAAGTATGGAAGAAAAATATTGCCTGGGAGGTTCCCGGAACCTGGGTGGTTCCACAGCAACCACAGGTGGTTGGTGGCCCTCAAGTGTCATGGAGCAGGAGATGGTACGGGGAGACTCAGATGTACAATATGAATTTTTTTTTTTAAGATTTTTATTTATTTATTTGAGAGAGAGAGACTGAGATAGAGAGAGCATGAGAGGGGGGAAGGTCAGAGGGAGAAGCAGACTCCCCGCCGAGCAGGGAGCCCGATGCGGGACTCGATCCCAGGACTCCAGGATCATGACCTGAGCCGAAGGCAGTCGCTTAACCGACTGAGCCACCCAGGCGCCCCTGTACAATATGAATTTTTGCTTACTTTTTCTTAATAAGTGGGGATTTGTATCCTACCGTACAATGTCTCCATGTTTGTTTCCCACGAAACACAAGGAATTCTTTCTCCCGTGACTGTGTCCCCTGTGGCTTTGCACACTACCTGCCTGAGAGATCTGTCTGGGGACCACCACAGTGGGGTGTCGCTGAAGCTCAGGGCTGGAGACAGAACAGTAGGAAATGCAACAGGAAAGAAGGGGGGGGCAGGCTGAGAAGGGTCCTTCAGTGTTATCCTGGGGACAATGGAAAATTCAAAACAGTTTTGAAATAGAAGAGGAGCAGAAAGACATTTTTGGGAGAGGTAAGATGGCTGTCGTGACAATAAGGAGTAACTGTCCCCAGTGAGGACAAGCGATTCCCCCAGGACCATGGGAGGAATGAGTGCAGGGCCCAGACAGGAACCCAAAAGCCCCCCTCCAGGCCTGGTTCTGGCTGGGAGTGTCATCTGAAGAGAAAGCCTTCCTTTGATCTCTTCTCCCTACCCCTCCTCACCCACTCCCTTCCCTTCCCAGTCCTGGTGCCCCGGGCAGGGCTGCAAGAGCAAACATCCGTTTCTGTTCAGGAGTAGAGAGGAAGATGAATTAGTGCATAGGCAGAAGGCAGAAAAAACCTTCGGGTACCTGGCTGCCCCCACCCTGTGACCATGGCCATGCCCACCCCACCCAGGGTAGGCAAGGAGAAATGCCGTCCGGTGCTGGCCGGAAGCGGGGGCGGCTCGGCAGGCACTCCCCTGCAGCACTCCTTTCTGACCGAGGTGACAGACGTCTATGAGATGGAGGGGGGACTGCTGAACCTGCTCAATGATTTTCACTCGGGCCGGCTGCAGGCCTTTGGTGAGTTCCCACCAGGGGGGCTGCCTGAGGGGGTATGTGGGTGGGGCTGGAGGGCCTGGTCTCTGGGCCGTGGCTGGGGCCAGGGTCCCACGGTGCTCCCAGGGCTCAGACAGGTCCTGTCCAGGGAAGGAATGCTCCTTTGAGCAGTTGGAGCACGTGCGGGAGATGCAGGAGAAGCTGGCCCGGCTGCACTTCAGCCTGGACGTGTGTGGGGAGGAGGAGGATGAGGAGGAAGAGGACGGGGTCACTGAGGGGCTGCCTGAGGAGCAGAAGAAGACGATGGCTGACCGAAACCTGGACCAGCTGCTTAGCAATGTGCGTCAGGGCTGGGTGCTTCTGTTCCCGGGGACACTGCGGGGTGGGGGAGGTACATGATCCTAAAGCTATTCCTGGCCCCTGGGTGAAAAGCTGGGGGTGCATGGAGCCCCAACCCCTACCAGAAGATCGCTTGCAGGGCATCTGGGGTTTGGCCTGGTGCCTCTCCTGACAGAAACCTCCTTTTCTCTCTGTTGACAGCTGGAAGATCTTAGTAATTCTATGTATCCTTTCCAGGGGACCCTGCTGTGTGTATGTATGCCCACACCTCCCACAGACAAAATCAGTTCCCTTCTCCCCACCACCCTCTAGGTGTATTTACACTATAACCAATGTCTCCCCTTTCTGTCCTACTGAAGCAGAATTAGTCACAAACTGTCCCCCAGGCAGAATTGTCCCAAATATCAGGAGAAAGATAGTTATAGGGAATGTGATTTATCTACTTAATGAAGATCCTTGCAAGTGAGGTCCCTGGCTGGCTCAGTTGGTAGAGCTTGGGACTCTTGATCTCTAGGGTTGTGAATTCGATTCCCATGTTGGGTATAGAGATTACTTAAAAATAAAACCTTTTTGGGTGCCTGGGTGGCTCAGTCGTTAAGCATCTGCCTTCCGCTCAGGTCATGGTCCCAGGGTCCTGGGATGGAGCCCCGCATCAGGCTCCCTGCTCTGCGGGAAGCCTGCTTCTCCCTCTCCCACTCCCCCTGCTTGTGTTCCCTCTCTCACTGTGTCTCTGTCAAATAAATAAATAAAATATTTAAGAAAATAAAAATAAAACCTTTTAAGTTACACTAGTGAAAAAAATAAAATCCTTTTTTTTTTTTTTCTTTTAAGAGGGAGAGGGGGTGGGCAGAGGGAGAGGGAGAGAATCCCCCTGCAGGGCTCGATCTCACAACCCCGAGATCATGACCTGAGCCAAAATCAAGAGTCGCACACTTCACCGACTGAGCCACCCAGGCGCTCCCCAAATAAAATCTTTAAAAGAAAGAAAATCTTTGCAAGTACTTTAGCTGACACCAATCCATGACAAAGCTTGTCTGATGTCTTCCTACTCTTTCAACATTGAATAATTATTTTCACTGATTTAGATTATCTCCCCATCTAGTCTCAGCCAGAAATAGTGCGGGTGCACGTACTTGCAAGATCTAGACCAGAAGAGAAGGGAGTAAGCTACCTAGCCAGAAGGGCGGGTGTGGACTGCAACTTGGACCACGGATCACCCGAGTCCTCCGACCCCGCCTCTTTGCGCAGTTGGGGAAACTAAGCCTGTGCAGGATGGACAGACAGGGCTGGAAAGACTGGGGTCCAAAGCATCGCAATCCTTGACTGGCACAGACAGAAGTTGCACCTGGCCGAGAACGCCGAGCCTGAGGAGCAGTCAGCCGTGTAGATGTCGGACCCAGGCCCAGACTGCCCCTCTCATGCCCTTCAAACTGTGACCTTTTATGGACTCGATCGGGTATTACGCGGCTCCCCAGGTGCTATGGGGGAGGGGGGCACTGGATGGAATTAAACCAGAAAAAAAGAAAGACACCGGCTCCGCCTGCTTCCTTCCCTCCTTGCGCCTTCACTCGGGAAGGCCCCCAGCACCCGGCCTCCGCAGAGACACCCCTCTGCGACACACTGTGCTTTGGGCGGTCCCGCTCGGTGGGGCGGAGGCGGGGGGGCGGAGTCTGGAAGCGGGTATTGGGAACCGGCCGCCCGAGGCTGGCGGCGGCCGCGGGAGGAGCAGGGTTGCCTTGGAGACGGCAGGGCGGGGCCTGGCGCGCGGCGCAGACTAGTGACGCAACTGGCAGGCGCCCGGCCAGCCGTGGGTCTGTTGGCGCCCGGATGGAGCGGGAGCAGTTGGCTCGGAGGATGTCGGTGCTGCAGGTGCGGAGCGGGCCGGGGGCGCACGATTCCCACCACGGCATCTCGGGTTGGGACCTTCGAACGAGATGAGGCTACCACGTTCAGTCACCTACCCTCGTGCCCGCCTCTGGAATTACCGTCCCACCCCCACCGCCCTGAAGAATGCTGGGGACCCGCGGACCCTCACCGGCCTTCCATCCAGGAAGTGGTGGGAAGGGCCTTAAATTCAAGAGAAGGATCCAGTCCGGCATCCTCCCTTGAACCCCCGGAGACTGTCCTGACGTACAGCGTCACCTATCCTTTCCCGCGGCCAGAGCCCCTCTTAGTCCCTGGGACGACCTCTCCAGGAAAACCCCCCAAATGCCCCCACTTGTGCAGTGATAAGCATTTTCTTTCCCCCTTATTCTCCACGCCAGGCCTGCGTCCGGGGCTTCTTGGTCCGACGCCACTTCCAGAGTCTGCGAGATGAGTATGAAGCTATTGTACGAGAAATCGAGGGTGACCTGGGCACGCTTCAGTGGACAGAGGGCTGGATTCCCAGGCCCCAGTTTCTCCCAGCGGTAGTATACACCCCAGTGGAAGAAGGGAGGGGTAGGAGGGACCTGGAGAGGGGATTCAAGGAAATGGTAGAATCCACCCTTCCCGTTGACAAGCTTTTCTCAGTGGAAGAGACTGCACGCCTCACATGCCAGTCCTTAATCCTTACCACCTTGTATGCTAAATCTTGGCACCCAGATATTTGGAGAGTTTAGCTGTGAGGTTCTCATACTTCTGATTTCTCAGAAGGCAAAATCCCATCGGACCCGGAAACCCCAAGGGAGGGCACCAAATCCAGAGCAGGAACTGCGGAGCAGCTTCTCATGTAAAGAACCTGAGAGAGAAGCTGTCTTGGGGGAGGTGATGCTGAAGAAGTCAGGAGAGAGCTCCGCAAACTCAGGAAGTCTTCTCTGCAGAGGTGACAGCCCCTGGCTTCGGGATGAGCACAGCAAAAAAGCCAGGAATCCCAGCCAAGGGGAGACCAGAGGTACGTCAAGGATGGAAAACCCAGGTACCTCTGTGCCTCAATTCAGGGCAAGCCCCTGACCCGCTCTGGGCCTCAGCTTTCCCATCTGAAAAGTAGAAAGGCTTGTGCTCCATAAGCTGCATCCCTCTCTTTTTTCCCAGTGCCTCGTTAAGGGCAACTCGGGGGTGGGCAGGGGGAGGGTGCCAGGGCTTAAGGGTAGCCAGTAGCCAGTGTGTACCCCTAAAGCCTTCTCCCTTTTTTCTTCCCTCCTTCGCAGAAGCTGCGGGTCTAGGACTGCCCCGCAGCCAGACTGAGCTCCAGGAGCTCCAGTACCACCACAGCCACTTGGCCATGGAACTGCTGTGGCTACAACAGGCCATCAATAGCCGTAAGGAGGTAGGCACTTCCTTGGAGCCCTGCCTGCACATTTAGGGCCAAGGGTCGGGGTTAGGGAAAAGCCTCCTGCTCTGTGCTCAAGCAGTCCTGCCTGGTACAGTGTCTGTTCTCTTTCCCAACAGTACCTAATTCTCAAACAAACACTGACATCCCCAGAGGCCAGCCAGCCTAGAGACAAGCCCAGCGTGTGCCCAGACCACAGGGCACAGACCTATGAGAGGGCTGGGTCACAAACAAGCCCGCCACTGAAAAACCAGTCCTACCAAGACAGGACTGCTAGGGAGCCAGACCATGTGGATGACTGCTGGAGGCTCAAATCACCACCCCGCAAGTCCCCAGAAAGACTGGCTACTACAGACAAAACCACGGCTGGGGTCAAGTACAGGGACCCATGCTACAGGAGGGCTGGGCCACAGCTGCCCACACCATCAGATGACCAGACCTTAGAGAACAGGCTCGCCAGAGAGCCAGACCATGGGGAACAGACATTTGGACAGACCTGCCCGCAGCTAATGACTGTCCTGCGCGACCACACCCCCAAAGGCCTCAAACCTAGGGGCTACCGTTCTGAAAAGGCCAGGACCCGGGTGCCCACACTCTGTGAAGACCCAGATACTGAGGACAAGTCTCCCAGGAGGCCAGAACACAGAGACCCTGATTGCCAAAGAGCTAGTCCACGGAAGTTAGACCTCTCAGAGGACTGTGGCATCTGGGATGAGACCTCGGCAGAGCATGATGGCCAGGGTCTCTGGAAGACTAAACCACCTAAGGGCCAGCTCCCTAGTGAGAAAAGCTCCAGGGATAGAACCTCCAACGAACCTAGCCATGAGGAAGGGAAAAACCAGAGGACCGTACCATGGCGATCAAGGCCGCCTGAGAAACTGTCTTTGACAGGGTCAGCCCACATGGGGGAGGACCACTGGAGGGACAGGCCATGGAAAACAGGACCACCAGGCTAGGCCCTGGGGAGCCAGGGGAAGACCAGGCTCCAAAGCAGGGTGCTATGAAAGGGTGATGAGGGAGGCAGGCCTCATCCTTGCTCCCTGGTGCCAGCTCTTCCTTCTGCCCTGGGCTGTTGGTGGCTAATGGGGCCAAGAGAAGCTGGAGCAGAGTGGGCACCAGTATGGGGAGGGGAGGGAGAAGGACATACTTTCATCCTCTGCCTGTGGTTTAATTCAAATTTTGGGATAGGGAGTTTCCTGGGATAAGTATAGTGGGGAGCCTAATGGAGAATAAACATTTTTCATGGATTCTGCACCTGGTTGCATTCATCTTTTGCCTCTGTCCAGGATAGACACTGGGCCCTCCTGTTCCTTTCCTGCTGGCATGGGGCACCTTCCCCAGGGCTGGCTGGGAGCCACAGTCCAGGAGCAGATGGGCCATCCTTGGGAGCAGTCCCCAAAGCTGATCGTCTTTTGAGCTCAGCCCTTGGGCTGCACGGTGGCAGGGAGCCTCTGCCGATTCTTCCCTCTCCAGTATTAGAACATCTGTGCTTCGGTGTGTTCCCCACCACTGCCTCTCTCACTGAGGCCCAGGGTCTTCCTTCCAGGATAGTGATCAGACCCGCCCAACTCTCACGAGGCCCCACCAAGGGTCGGCTGGATGAGACCCTGAAGGCCCTGCAGTCTCTCCCACCTTCCTTGGTGAGGGAGCAGGACTCCACCTCTGACCGGCCCTGCTCCCAGCCCGCCTTAGTTGCCTGGCAACGGCTCTGCGTCTCTCGCTGAGGACACACGATGGCCGGTGGTGGCAATCCAGCAGCCAAGAGGGTGGTGGTATACCGGAACGGGGACCCCTTCTCCCCAGGCCGCCAGCTGGTGGTGAGCCAACGCCGCTTGCCCACCCTGGAGACCTTCCTCCGTGAGGTGACCTCGACTGTGCAGGCCCCAGTGGCTGTGCGGGCCCTCTATACGCCTCGTGGTGGCCACCCTGTCACGGACCTGGCCGACTTGCAGAATGGAGGGCAGTATGTGGCTGCTGGCTTCGAAAGATTCCGCAAGCTGCAGTGAGTGGGCCAGGGCTGGTTAGAGCCGCGGGAGGGAGGGACCTGCAAGAGCGATAGTATTCGTGTTCAGTGCTTGCTGTGCGTTTGTGTTCTCTTCTGGGATACAGCAGCCCGACGCAGGGGCGGTCTTCTCCCCGCTCTTCAGATGCCTCAGAGTACGCAGGTTACAAACAGCGAAGCCACAGCCCTAGGCCAAGTATGACACTGATGTTCATGCCCATCACAGTCAGGACCAGGCTTCGAGGAGAACGTTCTCCTGCAGCTGGAGCCCCTTTTTCCAAAGGCTCTTCTTGATTGGATCCGCTACCACCACCATCACCAAATGCTAAATCCATCCATCGCTTCCTCCCTGCTGTGATTAGGCATCCTGTGCTCTCCACGGGCTGGGGTCATCCCCATTTGTAGGGTGGGGCCATGCCTTCCAAGATGGGAGAAGAATTTAAGTATCTGAGCTCCCAACTCAGATCTGACTTCTAGGTGCTACTCAGCTGTCCCCTGGGGTTGCTTATGGTAGCGTAAGGAGCAAGGGGTGGGAAGCCAGACAGACTTAGAATCTGGGCTGTCACTTACTTCCGTGTTACTGTAGGTCACGTAACTTTCTCTGTCACAGAAAATGAGATGAAAGCTCATGAATGAGAAAATTTCTGAGATAGAGTATGACGCTTAATGAACTAGTTTCTCTTGACCTTTAACGGTTTGTGTCTGAGCCCCCAGTCCAGATGGTCAGCCTGACGCTGGGCCCTAGGGCAGGTTTAAGGGCCAGCATCTCTTTCTGGATAGATGTCTTGAGACTATCCCGGTGGGGATGGATCCCTGGTAAGCTGTAGCCCTAGACCCTCACTCTGGCAGCTACCAGGGTGTTGAGGTCTCAGGCTTCCCAAGATGACTTGTGACCCATCTGTCCTTTCAGCTATTTATCCCCCAGACGGAAGGATCCAGGTGGGAAGGGCAGCAGACTACCAGTGAGTCCTGGGGGAGGCTGGCCTCCAGCCCTGTCTTCTCACCCCTATTGGGATTGCCCCCAGTTTCATCTGGGAAGTCAGGGGCTCTGGAAATAACAGGATCTGTCAGGTCCCTGGGGGCTACTCTCCACATCCACTCTGGAGCCAGCTGCTACCCTTCCTGGGGTACAGGGTTTTAAGACTATGCCTTGCTCCTCGCCCAGCCTTTATCACCAGGTTGTGGTCCCCAATGGAAAGAGGAAGCTGTAAAACATACGGGGGCAAGGTAGTGGTTGGAATGTGACTACGGGGAGGTAGAATGTTCCTTTGGTGAAAGGTGTGACCCATCCCATCCCTCCTTGCCCCCTCCTTCACTCACCCTACCCACCTTGGACTGACCCACCCCTAGCCAAAGTCTTCAACTCTCTCCTGATCTGAGGGCCTGCCTTGGGTTTCAGGGTCCTCCTGTGACTCACCACCCAGGTGACAGGACCCTTGGACCGCGACCACCTGCAGGTTCCCCCTGCTACATCCAGTGAGTGCCGATGTCGGGGAGCAGGAGCATAGATTTTGTTTCAGTGAGACCAAGAAAATGTGGGTGGGTTTGTTTCCAGAGCCCCTGGTCCCAACATGCCTGATGGGTGAAAACGGACCAGTGCCCCGGTTTGTAGACAATCTTCCGGCCCCGTGCTGCCCTTCTTCCTCTCACATGTGGGGCGTTCTGGGGACCCCTCTCCTTACCAGGCTGCTCTTTGTCCCAGTGTGTTCAGGAATGGGGACCTGGTAAGTCCGCCATTTAGCCTGAAGCTGTCCCAGGCTGCTGGCGAGGACTGGGAAACCGTGCTGAAGCTCCTGACTGAGAAGGCCAAACTGCAGGCTGGGGCTGTGTGCAAGTGAGTGTGGGCCCCGGGGAGGGAGCCTCCCTGCTGGTCCCGGCTGTCCTAGCGGACAACAAGGTGAAAGGAAAGCACGTCTCCCCAAATGGGACTTCCTTCTACGCCACAGGGAGAGGCCCCCACAGCTGAGCCCCTGGAGCCAGGGCAGAGCCGAGGTGACTGGCCCGGGTGCTCGGAGGGTCAGCAGCCAGCGCGTACCCCGTCATAGTCTGCCGAGTGTGAAGAGGCATCTTGTCCGCTGGCCTTTACCCACCTACCTCTCTCTCCCAGACTCTGCAGCCTGGAGGGGCTCCCACTGTCAGCAAGAGAGGCTCTGGTGAACGGCCATTATTATGTGGCGGTCGGAGAAGAGGAGTTCCAGGCCCTCCCTTATGTGGAGCTGCTGGTGCCCAGCCCCTCACTGCCCAGGGGCTGCTGGTACGGACGGGTCAGTGGCGAGGCGGCAGGGTAGAGCAGAGGAAACCACCCTGATCCCATGCCTGCTCTGCCTACTTGCTATAAACCCTTTGTTTTCATTGCAGGCACCCGCCAGACCCAAAGTCTAAGCCCCACAAGCCGCGGGTAGGTGACGGGGGAGGCCATGGGAGGCAGGCAAGGAGGGGGGTGACTGGCTGGCCTCTCTTCCAGCTCAGGCTCTCTCCACATCGCACTGCATCCTCTTGTGGAACACAGGTTACCATTTCCCAGAGGAGGCAGTCAGGTTCCCCGGAGTGAAGTCAGCTGCTCAGGGAGACACAGGTCTTGAGTGGCAAGGGCCAGACCAGAAGCTGGAGACAGCTCAGCCTGGCTCAACGAACACCTGCGGACTCTGCTGGCCGAGCGGGCCGCTGGGGGAGAGAACTGGCCTCTTTGGCGTAGCAGGGTCCAGCTCCCCAGCTGATCCCAGGCCTGAGCCTTCCCAAGAAATGAGCCAGTGAGCACTGGGTGGGGGTCGGAGGACACGGCCTGGCTTCACTGGGCCTCTTGAGTGCCGGGCACCAGCGGCTCTGTCCCCGGATAAGGCAGCCTGATGGGAAGAGGGAGCCAGGAGGGAGGATGCAGGCTATGAAGACGGATGGCATCTCTCCCCAGCTCCCACAGGCACCAGGGGCATTCAAGCTTGGCCTGGCAGGAGAGAAGGCAAGAACAACCATCACCCCCAGTCCAAGCCCAGTATGTCCTCTACAGGCCCAGGGCCCCAGGGCACAGGCATCCCAGCCCTCTCCAAAGGAACCAAGCCCCACTGAGCCATCTGCTTTCTATGCCAGACCCCAGCAGGCCATTCAGCCAAGCAACAGGCTCCCCACGCTCTCAGTTCCCTCAGGTGAGGGGACCCTGGGCCCTTCTCACCCACCCTCTGACAGTGACACAGAATGGTCCCTGTTGTGGGAGAGGTCCATGGGGGCAGAATGCCCGGGGACAGAGCTGGCCCTGGCCTCAACACAGATCTTTCCCGCTGCCCCACGTGCACACGCAGTCCCTGGCTTCTTTGTGGGGAGCTGGCAATATGAAACGAGGCACAGGGAAACTTCAAGGGTGGGATCTGGAAGGGATGGGGGCCAATGTCCTGCCTCAGAGCTACCCTGCCAGCCTCCAAGGTAGTGGGGACTGTGGAGGGGAAGGGGCTGGGAGAGAAGGGCAAGGAAAAGGCTCAGGGCTCCTCAGCCTGGGCATCCACCGACACTGCCTCCTTCATCAGGAGTCAAGGGAGTGTATGAGGCTCTCCACCCGAGGAAGGAGACAGCAGGGGCCCAGGAAGTGGCAGATGATGAAGACACCTGCACGGAGGAACCCTTGGATCAGGTGGGCGGGGACTGGATGCAGTATGTTGGTTCAGGAGCTCTGAGCTGGAATGGCAGCCTGGGGTCCCAGGAGAGCCCCCACCTTGGGACTGTGAGCAGATCTAACTCTCCAAGCCCAACCTCCTACCTTGTTAAATGAGAGGGCAGAGCCAAATTTGTAAAGTCTCTTCCTTTCCTGTGGTCAGAAACTTCAGCTGAGGGCTGGAGGCGACAAGGGACACTAATGCTCTGTTCTGTACGGCCTTCCGCCTCCTCCAGAGGGCAGCGCAGATGGTGGACGAGGCTCTGTGCCTGGAAAAGCAGCCTGGGGCTGGGGCAGTGGTCTCAGCCTCAACCCCGTCTCTGCCACCTTGAGAGCCGCTGTCCAGCCAGGACCTGGGGCGGGCACTCTGCAGCCACCTTTTATCCTCGTCTCCAGCAGCCTGTTCCAGGGGACCCAGCGCTGCCCCTGGGCTCACAGGATACCCTGTAGCCCCCTCAGCCCCGCCCCACTCTTCTGCTCCTAAACCCACAGCCCAGTCTTCGTTTCCTTCTGAGCCGGGCAGCCCTAGCCATGGAGACCATGTTCCTATAGGGTTCCCTGGTCAGAGACAGGAGGAGCCAACCGAGCTTAGGGGGAGGCTACAAACTTGGGAGCAGGTCTGCTGCAATAAAAGAATACTTAACTGTCCTCCATCTGTTCGGTGCGGATTTATTTGAGGCTACCCCTCGCCGGGCACCGCATCACGTGGCAGAAGTGACGCGGTGCCGGGGCCCCAGGCTGTCTAAGAAGGGCAGGCAGTTGAAGATTTCCACCCACCTTCCAGGTGGGCCAGGCAAGGCTCCTAGACTGCTCATCTCCTCTACACCTGCCATTCCGACGTCCCTTCTTCCCCTCAGGTCCCTGCCTCAGCCAGCCAAGGCCTCTGGCAGCCCTGAGGCCTCCTGTTTGCATCTCGGGCACAGACGGCGGCTGGCCGTCTCCAGGCGGTCCGTGGACCCAGCTGCTGTGATAATCTGGATCGGGCCATAGTGATGGTGGCTGGGCTAGGGGCCTGACATGACAGCACGAGGAGCGCTGCGGGGCAGAAAGGTTGCTGGGGAGGTATGAAGTCTCTCGTGCTAAATCCAAGCAGCTGAACAGATCACTCCCGTGAGAGCCACCACGAGGTAGCTATTCGCCCCCTAAGAGGTGAGGGCGCTGAGGCTCAGGGGGAAGTGCTAGGTCCGTCTGCTCACTGGCTGTGCCTCACGGCTCAGGGGCTTCCTGGACACAGAAGGGCTGGAGGGTGGTGTGGGCCCACTCAAAGGGCAGACAGCTGCCCCTGGGTCTTGCTCACGGAGCTCGTGACGCAGAGTGCAATCCCCACCACGGTGAGCACCATGCCTGTGAATGCTCCTGGGAGAACGGGCAGAAATTGAGGGGCTGAGCCCAGCCAAGCTAGGAGCTGGTGCAGGGCTGAGGGACCAGTGCAAATGGGGTATGTCCCCAGAATGCCCAGGGGAAGGAAACTCTGATGGCCATAAGGAAGCAGGAGAGCTGCTGAGGAAAGGGGAGGGATGGGGAAAGATCCTCTCCTCCCCACCCGTGGAGCCAGCTCTGGGAAAGGACTAACCGGGGTGGCAAGGCCCAAGGAGTGGCTTCCCACACTTGCAGTGGCCTGACTTACCTTTTCCACCAATATCTTCTCCGAGGACCTTCCCGACAATCAGTGTGAAGACGATGGCCAGAGAGTTACTGATGGGCACAGCTAGGGTCAGATCTGAGTGATCAGAGTGAAAAAAAAATCTCTGAGATGCCAAAAAAATGCCTTTCTAGGCACAAAACACATTTTATCAAGACAGCCTGTTAAAAAAAAAGGGGGGTGCACCTGGGTGGCTCAGTCGGTTAGGTTTCTGTCTTCGGCTCAGGTCATGATCCCAGCGTCCTGGGATCGAGTCCCACATCGGGCTCCGTGCTCAGCAGGGAGCCTGCTTCTCCCTCTCCTTCCACCTGCCTGCCTCTCTGCCTGTCTGCCTACTTGTGCTCTATCAAATAAATAAATAAAATCTTTAAAAAAAAAAAAAGTATCTCATTTTCCCGATGAAATCACAGCAAAGCTCAGGATTCAAACCAGGTTTCCCGACTCTAAATTCAGTGCTCCCTCCACTCCAGCACGAACTATAAGGTGGTCTGGGACCACCCTGGTTTGCGGATAAGGATGAGGTCTTTGCACTCGAAGAGCTCCTGCGATTGCAAGGATATCAGGACAGATAGGCCCCAAGCCTAAAGGAGGCAGTAGGATGAATGTAACAGCACAGCCACCATTTATTAAGTGCCAACTGTGTACTCATCTCCTTTGATCTTCACAACAGCACTGAGAGAAGAGCATCATCACTTTGTGTAAAGGAAACAAAAGCTCAAAGAAGACACATACATTGAGGCAAACCGACGACTTAAACCAACGCCTGCTGGACTCCAAAGCCTGTGCCCCGATTCAACTAAATGGAGATGGACAAACAAAAGAGCCGGTGAAGCCCATCTGATTCTGTTTCAGCTCAGGCTTGGGCCTTATGGAGGTAAGAGAAGAAAATGTCAAATGTCAGAAGCAGAGGCGCCTGGGTGGCTCAGCTGGTTAAGCGACTGCCTTCGGCTCAGGTTATGATCCCGGGGTCCTGGGATCGAGCCCCACATCGGGCTCCTTGCCCAATGCCTGCTGTCCCCCTGCTTATGCATGCACACACTCTCTCCCTGACAAATAAATAAATAAAATCTTCAAAAAAAACTAAGACAGGTTTTTAAAAGATTTTTATTTATTTATTTAACAGACAGAGAGCCAAAGAGCACAAGTTGGGGGGGCGGGGGGAATGGCAGCGGGAGAGGGAGAAGCAGGCTCCCCGCTGAGCCCGATGTGGGACTCGATCCCAGGCCCCTCGGATCATGACCTGAGCTGAAGGCAGACGCTTAACTGACTGAGCCACCCAGGCGCCCCTCAATTTTATTTTTAAGTAAATGCTATGATCGAACTTATGCTCCTGAGATCAATGCTCCACTGAATGAGCCAGCTAGGCGCCCCTAAACATAACTTTTATATGCACTAGGAAACCAAAAAATTCATCTGATCTGCTCTGCAACATTTGTTGTATCGTGCGGTAGTCCAGAACCAAACCTGCAATATCTCTGTAGTACAGCTGTAAAGTATCTTTTTTTTTAAAAAAACTTCATTTATTTATTTGACAGAGAGAGACACAGCGAGAGAGGGAACACAAGCAGGGGGAGTGGGAGAGGGAGAAGCAGGCTTCCCGCGGAGCAGAGAGCCCGATGCGGGGCTCGATCCCCAGACCCTGGGATCGTGACCTGAGCCGAAGGCAGACGCTTAACCGACTGAGCCACCCAGGTGCGCCTGCTAGTACAGTATCTGATGCAGCAGAGGACAGTCAACAATCAGGGGGAGGAAGGAAATATATACTTACTGAGCACCTACAGTGTGCACCAGCTACTCTGCTAGATGCTTCCCATACACTGAATTTAATCCTCTCAATGCTACAAAAACCATCGTATAAAACCAACACTCAAATAAGAGACTTGCTCAAGGTCAGGCAGGTAGCACACCGTGGAAGCAGGAGAGTCAAGGCCAGCCACTGGCACAGCAAAATGAACCTCCCCTCTGACTCCACTGCTGCACAAGACCACCAGGCTTCAAACCAAACCAGGTGCCTGGCAGCATACTCATAATCAGCCCACTGTGCCCCGGCTGCTTAGAGAAGAGGGTGCAAAGAGGGAACCAGAGATAGTGGGCTCTCCCTCACTCATTGCAACAGGGTGTTTCAGGCCCCCTCCCCAAGTGACTCTTCCAGGTGGCCTCCAGCACTGAGCATAGCAGTTCTAAGTCAGAGACCCACCTGTTGATGCCAGGGTGAGGTAGTAGAGAAGGGAGCCACACTGGTTGAGGAAAAAGGGCATCATGTACTGGAAACAGAAGAAATCTGCAGTCAACGTGATGCTTGACTGAGAAGCAGTGCCTTCTTTGAGCTTCTAGATAATGCCCTTCCTTGAAGGAAGCTACAAGGAAGCTTCCTTACAGCTATAAGGGTCCAAAGAGTGATTGGCCCACTTAAAAGGACCCTTCCAGAGCAGGCAGCAAGTGACTGACTGAACTCATGCCTCTGCCTTTAATGCTTCTCCCTCAGCCCTGCTAGTTCCCATTCTCCCCATCTTCCCCATCCCGCAAGTCCCTGAATGCCAATGTCACTCCCTCCAAGAAGCATTCCTAGAGGCTCCTAGCTCCAGCCTCCCTCCTGTGAACTCAGGAAGCACTTAATCAGTACCTCTCTCGTGGCCCTTAGTCCTGAGAGGTGGTTGTGTCTATGTCTTGTCTTTCCCACTAGCCTAGACTGGCAGCACTGGGGTCAGAGGTAGTTCTCCATATCCTTCCTTATCCTCCCGCCCCAGGGTCAATCTGAGCCCCAAGTCCTCCCATGGAAGGTCTGTTGGAGGGATCACCAATAAAATACTAGTAATAGCACCCATAGATTGAACACTAATTCCGTACTGGACCCAGTGTTAAGTGCTCTATGTGCCTCACCTCACTGAATCCTCACAACTGCCCAATAAGATGGTTACCATTAACATTCCCATTTTACAGACGATGAAACTGAGGCTCAAGGAGGACAAGTGACTTGTCCAAGAGCTTCTAGCGAGTAAGCTGGTGGGGAGCAGATTCTGACCCAGCCTTGTTTGATTCCAGAGACCAAATTTTTAGCAGCTATGCGCGAGAAAGGGGCCACTCACAGACACACCTCAGTATCCAAGAAGAGGGTCTTCATCTCCTGCAGCAACTGCCGGGCCCAGGTCCGCTCATGAACCTGCTGCAGGCGGGAGGAGGCCCGCTTCAGCAGCGGCTGTGTGCCACCCCACAAGGCGGCCACCAGCACCAGAGCCAGCACCTGTCCTGGATGGAGATGCGAGGTCACTCACCCCCCAAAAACCGCTGCCCGCCGGCCCGGCCCTCCTCGTACCTCCCTTCCCCAGCCAGCCACCCCCACATCCCTCCCTCGCTCTCCGACGCGCCGGGTGCGATTGGCGGGTAGGACAGGCCCCGGGAGGCCGGGGAGATGGGTCCGAGAGCCCGGAGTTTGGGGTTCGGGCAGGGGTGAAGGTCAGGTAGTGGAGGTGGGGCGGGAAATGAACTCCGGGCAAGGTTTGGGAAGCCCCTAGAGGGGCGGGGCCGCCCACCCACCCAGAGACGCCGCCATGGCAACGCCGCTCCCTCCACTTCCGGGAACGAAGGGGCGGAGACCCACAATCCGGAAGTGGCCCCAAAGCCTCTTCCGGTCCTAGTCACGTTGCTTCTTTCCTCGCGTCAGTGCCGGGATGGTGAGTTCTCCTGAGTTGCGGTGTTAGCGTGGGGGTCTGGGACTGGGGCAGGGGTCGATCCTGGGCGCTGACACACCTGTCCTGTCCCCACAGAAGCCGATCCTGCTGCAGGGCCATGAGCGATCCATTACGCAGATTAAGTACAACCGTGAGGGAGACCTCCTCTTCACGGTGGCCAAGGACCCTGTGAGCGTCGGCAGAGGGCGGGCCGGCGGGATCTTGGGGCGGGGGGAGGCGTCGGGAGGGGGCGAGTTCATTCTGCCAGGGCAAGGGGTGGACAAGCCGTTTTTGCCGTGAGAAGGGAACCAAAGAGCTCCCGATTAGGAGAGGAGGAAGAGACCACCCCTGGAGTAGGTGGGCGAGAGCATTATACTGGGAAAGAACACTATTGGTGGTGGGAGGAGTGGCCGGGAGCAAAAGAGCAAGAGACCATCATGGAAGGGAGATGGGGACAAGAGTGACTATTCTTCCAGGGTAGGGGAACGGACCACCTCTAGAAGCGGAAAGCTGATCCTTGGACAGTGAGGGACAACAGAGGACTACTTTACTGGGGGAGGTGTCCCTGGTCTCATTTCAGTAGGTCCTTCTGGGCCCCATCCTGCTTTTCACTGAGTGCAAATAGACCCTCATGTACTGCCTTTTGGGACACCTCCGAATGGAAGACGTTAACTCTCGCGGCTAAAAGTGGGAGTTCGGAAGCCAGCCGACCCGATTTGAATCCTGAGCCCTGCATCCGAGTAACAGTGTGACTTTGAGCGTGTCATTTAACCTTTCTAAACTTGGTTTCCCTTATTATAAATTATGGGTATTAATAGTACTTCCCTCATGGGGTTGTCTTCAGGGTTAAATGAGATCATTCAAGTAAGGAGCTTACACAGTAAGTACCTAGTGCATATTAGTAGAGAATTGTTAGTCACTTATATTTTAAATTCCTTAGACATCATTTTATTGAAGCCTCATAGATACCCTTTGAAGAAGGCATTATTGTTGTGTCCATTTTAGACAAGAAAATAAGCTCAGAGAAGAGAAACACTGTAGTGGAGGGTTTCGGGAAGGACTGGGACAATGGCATGTAGATGTTTTTGCAAGCCCCCTGACTCCCCTGCCACTTACCTGCAGGAAGGAGGAAAATCCAGGAGTTGGTCTTTTTACCAGCAACCTGCTGTTTCCCAAGAGATGAGCAAGAGAGGGCAAAATCTGGCCTGGCTAGAGGCTGCTGAGGGTTTCTGGGGAACCTCTTAAGTAGGAGGCCATTGCCTGGGATGCTTACCATCTGTCACACTGTCATTGACTCCTCCAGATTGTCAATGTGTGGTACTCTGTGAACGGTGAGAGGCTGGGCACTTACACGGGCCATACTGGAGCTGTGTGGTGTGTAGACGCTGACTGTATCCTTGTCTTTGCTCTGAGTCTGTGCTGCCAGGGTCTGCGAGCAACGGAGAGGCTGCCGACTTGGGAGTTGGGAGTTTGGGAAGCTATTGTGGGTCTAGGGAATGATAACCTACTTCCTAATACCCGATCCCTTCACTGGTTGAGGGAACATTCAAGACAAGTTCTGTTTCTAGATGAGGAGGTTAGAATGCTCTGAGGTAAGAGAGGAAGAAAGGCTGTCTGGGGCTGAACGGGGAGGTAATTCAGTTGGTTTTCCAGGAGGATGAGGGCTCAGATGAACTCAGTCATGTTTCTTAACACCCTCTTCAGGGGACACCAAACATGTCCTCACCGGCTCAGCTGATAATAGCTGTCGTCTCTGGGACTGTGAAACAGGTAAGCCTGGATAGTTTACTTTTTCACCACAGTGAGGACCTACAGCGTACCTGTTTAGGTGAACAGGTTTTGGGGAAACAGAGATAAATCCAGAGATGGCTCCTGTTCTAAGGAATGAGAAAGAGACAAGGAGAAGAAGACAGACAAGAAAAGAGGCAGTGCAGTAGGCTATAAGGCACCTTAGAGAAAGCACAGAGCACTGTGGAAGGCCAGAGTGGGGGCAGCTGACTGCCTGGAGTGGGGATGGGAGCAACCCGGCAAGGTTTCCCAAGGTAAATATCACACGAGCTGGGGCTTAAAGGATGAGGAAGAGGTCATCACTTTAGCACATTCTGGAATGAAAGCATGGCAAGTATCCTCTCCAAGTCATCTGATCTGATGGGAACTCCTGCTTCTTGGGGGATGAAATAGGAGAGAAGAGGCGGCAGGCTAGGGTCAGAATAGACCTCAAATGCCAGACTCAGGAGCTTGTCTTCGTTCTGCAGGAGTTGGCATGCCGTGGAGGTCCTTGAGCAGGGAAGGGTATGTTTCATTTTGGCGAGCTCAGGTAGCAGCGGGGAGTATTGGAAGAACAGGCCGAAGACACGGGAGCCTATTAAGCTACTCCATCTAGTAAATATTTACTGGGCACCCAATTCTGTGCCAGGTCGATGCTGGGTTCTGGGGACATGCAGAGAAGTTCGAGCAGATCCTTGTTTTGGAGGAAGGCATTCTGAGGAGAAGACGGACGTATTGCTACGCACTGTGAGCAGTGTGTAGCAGCAAGATGTCTGAGGACAGATGGTGGGGAGGCGGCGGTGGCGGGGGCTGTGGTCACTAGAGCAGGGGACACAGCGGACAGGAGGATAGGCAGATGTGGCGTGTCCTCCCCTTGATGGCATAGGGCAAAGGGTAGCCCAGACTCTGCCTGTCCCCAGGGAAGCAGCTGGCCCTCCTCAAGACCAATTCAGCTGTCCGGACGTGTGGCTTTGACTTTGGGGGCAACATCATCATGTTCTCCACCGACAAGCAGATGGGCTACCAGTGCTTTGTGAGCTTCTTTGACCTGCGGGATCCAAGCCAGATCGGTGAGCCAGCGCTGCGGGGTTGGGACTGGGGCTGGGGTGAAGGGCGCGGCTCCAGAGCCCACGGCCTGACATCTTCACCCCCCCACCCCCAACAGACAACAATGAGCCCTACATGAAGATCCCTTGCAACGACTCCAAGATCACCAGTGCTGTTTGGGGACCCCTGGGGGAGTGCATCATCGCAGGCCACGAAGGCGGAGAGCTCAACCAGTACAGCGCCAAGGTGAGGGGGAGGGTGGGGCCCACGCCCAGCAGAATGATTCCGTTCAAGAGGCAGGATAGCGCAGCAGTGAAGAGCAAGGGCTGGGTTCGGACACAGATTCCACCACTTTTTAGTTACATGAACCCAGGCAAGTAACTTCACGGAGTCTGTTTATCTGTAAAATGTTGCAAGGATCAAATGACATCAGGCGTTTGAAAAACTTGTCACAGAGTACTCTGGATACGTCCACAGTGATCACAAGGAAGCCCTTTCCTGCCGCCACTGAGTGCCAGGCCTCGTGCTGGGCTCTGAGGACAAAGACCCGCATCAGACGTGGGCCCTGCCGCCAGGGAGCCAGACTGGCAGACGGCTAACCCAGGAGCTGGTTTGTGAGTTGTGCCGCCGTAGAGGTCTCAGCCAAGTAGAGAAGGTGCCCTCTGTCACAGAGACGGTGGCCCGTACCTTAACCCGTGAAGAATAGTGGAGCTTCAAGCAAGAAGAGGAGGCCGTTCCACAGGCGGAAAAAACAGTGCCCACAAGAGCACAGAGTTAAGGGAATGGGGGGATTGTTCAGAAGCGTCTAGGGTTGTTGGGACACAGTGTTGGGGGAAGTGAGTGGCGACTAGATTTCTTTCTGAGTGTCAGGAGGTAAGTAACTCTGTTTTTCTTTTGGGCAGTAGGGACTCTTTAAATGGTGATTGGTGATCAGATTTTTCTCTTTAGAAAGCTTTTGCAGGCTTAGTTCAGAGAATGGACCTGAATGAGGAAATAGCTCTGGGGATGTGGAGCCCCTGACAGAGTCAAGAGCTATTTAGGGGTGACTGATGAGATGGGGGGTAAGGAAAGGGTCAAGCCGGCCTGTCTTGGATTCTCATTTGGGTGCCCGGGTCCCTGGGCAATGCTGGCGTGTACTACCATAAGGGCTAGTCAGTCACTCAGCAAACACTGACTGTAGTCCACTAGGCCCCAGACCCACCTGCAGGAAAGGAACGGGAACCAAGGTCAAAGGCATACATGATGCTTGGTGCGAGCACCTAGTGGAGCTGTTCTGTGCCTTCAGATAGGCCTGACTGCAAAGCTGGGGCTTACTCCCCGAAATGCAGGAGCCAGATAGGTCCCTACCATGTGTCCACATTGATGGAGGAGACAAAAATACATCCCTCTCACAGAGTAGGTAAAAATCATTCAGGAAAGGGGTGCCTGGCTGGCTCAGTCAATAGAGCAGGAGACTCTTGATCTCAGGGTCGTGAGTACAAGCCCCGCAATGGGCATAGAACTTACTTAAAAACAACAACAAAGATAATTCAGGAAAGGAAAAGGAAGTTCTCTGAGGGTCTACTGTGTGTGAGGCACAGTGCTCACAAGGCCTTTTAATCATCTAATCAGTGTCTGCAGAACATAGGCCAGGTTCCTGTCACAACAAAGTCAAATGAGACACAGTCCCAGTGTCCCTACTGTGACCCTGGGTGGTGGGCTTTTAGTCATCTTGTTTTCTAGAGAGAGAAATTGAGGCAGCAAGAGGTACTTCTGAGGGCAGACCCTCAAACTCTGCTTTTTGTACCATACTGGCTATAGCAGGTTGCTGCGTGGGAGGGAAGTCGGGAGATGCAATGGCTCTTTGAGAAGATTTAGAAAAAGCTGGACATGCAGCAGTCCCAGTGGACTGTCACCCCGACCCTGGCTGGGCAGGGGGTGAGCGCAGGCTCTCTGCATCTTACAGGTTGCAGGACCTCCAGCGAGTCACATCACCCCTCTGAACCTTACTTTCTGCCTTTGAAAATGTCCTTTAAAAGACCCACTTCATGGGGTTGTTGTGAGGATGAACGAAGTCAGGTGTTGAGCGCGTGGCACAGTGCTCGGCAAATTGTGACTATTCACAATCCGGGGACAAAAAGGAGGGAGTGGAAACGGCTCTACCCTTGTGATGTGCTGATTAGTTACTAGGTCCGTAGATTTGTCACCAGAA